AAATACTATTTACTGACACTGGAAAGGAGAGTAAGATTCATTCACTAAGGCTCATACAGTTTCTCTGGGAAATGTTTAGGATCCATGCTTTAAAAACAGATAAAAGTTCTCCTGGTTTGAAACTTTCACCTTGTGTGTTCTCACCAACTCAGTCTAGAAGCCCAAAAACAAATTAATACATGGCTTCAGAATTTGTGGACAGATGAATGTTTCAAACAGCTTGCAAATAAGGTTTAATCCTACAAAACAACTAGTACCACACCTAGTATTTACTACTTTGGACTCATAAGAGTCAGAAATCTACCCATCAAAAAGATATCTGACCTTAAAGCAAAACAATTTACCAAGTATTAATTAGTAACACAGGATTTAAAAAAATCATTAACAGGAGAATTTTAGATATCTGCAACACTCCAAAAAATTCTGTTAAAATATTTTTTCTCTCTTACCTTAAAGCTTAAGCCATTAACACCTACATAAACTTCATTTGAAATGAAATCATGCAAGTGTCCTCCTAGCACACACACATACCACGCAGCCTTCTTCCCCACCCACCCTCCAATTCAGACAGAGAGGCCTGCCATCTGAATGCAATAAGTGAGTTAGGACAGCCCAACAAACTTCACCCTGCCTCCATGATTGTACACAGATGCTAGCATCCATCCATCCCCTCTTTCTCCCCCACCTACTCCTATGCAATCTGCTTCTCCCAGCCTAGCCAGGAGCTAGGATAAAATCCTGCTTCTCAGACTTGCAGGCACCAGCAGCCTAGCTAGGAGTTACAGGATACAGAAGTACAAACTCTCCACCCCCTCACCCTAGGACACACAGCAAAAACAAACTCTCCACTTCCACCTCACCCCAATGCCAACACTCACCCACCCACTCTCTTTTTACTACCTAGCCCTGTGCAATCTACTCAATCCTGCTTCTAAAACTTGCAGGCACAAACAGCATATAGCACAAACTTCCCTTGCCTCCACTTCACCCCAATGCTAGCACCCACCTACCCCCTCTTTTCCCTACCTACCCCATGCAGTCAGTCCCTTACCCACCCTAGCCCAGGAGGCTTGAGAGTGCTGAATTTTGGTTTCTTCTCCCCTGGACACAGAGAAGGCTCTCTAAACTCCCCTCCAACATCTCCCAGCCAATTACTCCTTCCTTCCTCTCCCTACCCCAATATTTCCTTATAAATATCTCCCCCTGCTCTGGCTCTGGTAGCTTCTCAATTCAAGCATGCAGCTGTTGCTGCTTAGCCAGATGTCCCTGTTCCCACCAATTAGATGAGCTTCCTACCTGTGCAGGAGCTTTGAAATAGCAGTGCAGAATATAGGGAAGAAGAGTAAAGAAAACTACCTGTGTTCCTCTCACTCCATCTTGGCTAGAGAGGGGAGGCAGAAGACAGTATCCTGCCACAGTAGGGAAACGAGCCTCCCGACCAAATGGCACACATGCCAGAAAACCCCAAATCAGCAATAAACTGCACCACAAGACTAAAAACAACTAATCTTTCATTTTAATCTTATAATTTTTTTTCATATTCAATACATTGTTAGTGTTTTCAGCTGATGTTTTAAGTTGATTCAAGGAGTATATGTGATGTTATAATTTGCTAAAAGCAGCTTCTACTCACAAACTGGCTTTATTATGGAGTGATGAAAGGTTAAAAGTTGTCCCTCAAAAGTCAATGAAAGGAAATCTTTAAAGATCTATTTATTCTATTAAGCAAGATTTTATTATAATACACTAATCCTGCAAACACTAACTTGGTTAACTTTAAATATAAGAATAGTCTAATTAAATAGATAAATCACCCTACTGAACTTTAAGTTAAACACCTGCACAAATCTGCAGGATTTAGGTCTAAAAAAGTATGTTTGTAATTCAAACAAAAACAGTTCTTTTGAAAAATAATATGGCTTAAATAGAGTCCATATTTCTCTTTTATGAAGATACCAGTATTGTTGGGGAGAGTTGGTTGCCTCAACTTTAGTAAGGCATTTGATACCACATGGGGAATTATTGGTTAAATTGGAAAAGACAGGGATTAATATGAAAGTTGAGAGGTGGATAAGCAACTGGTTAAAGGGGAGACTACAGCGGGTCATACTGAAAGGTGAACTGTCAGGTTGGAGGAAGGTTACTAGCGGAGTTCCTCAGGGATCAGTTTTGGAGCCAATTTTATTTAATCTTTTTATTGCTGACCTTGGCACCAAAAGTGGAAGTGTCCTGATAAAATTTGCGGATGACACAAAGTTGGGTATTTCCAATTAAGAAAAGGATCGGGATATCATACAGGAAGATCTGGATGACCTTGTAAATTGGAGTGATAGCAATAGGATGAAATTTAATAGTGAGAAGGGTAAGGTTATGCATTTAGGGATTAATAACAAGAATTGTAGTTATAAGCTGGGGACACATCAGTTGGAAGTAACGGAGGAGAAGGACCTCGGAGTCCTGGTTGATTATAGGATGACTATGAGCTGCCATTGTGACATGGCCGTGAAAAAGGCTAATACGGTCTTGGGATGTATTAGGCAAGGTATTTCCAGTAGGGATAAGGAGGTGTCAGTGCCATTATACAAGGCAGTGTAGCCACTTCTGTTTTTTGTAAAAACTGCAGGAGAGGCATAAGAATCTTGCGCAAAATGGGGGTTTTGTGCAAAACGGAAGCGACTACACGGCTTCTTTTTGCACAAAAACACCTTGCGCAAAAAGAAATGGCAGAATATATGGTAATGAGATCACGACTTATGCTAATGAATCTCTTATTAGCATACTTTCTGCTGCAAAAACTCGCAATGTAGATGTAGCCTGGGGGAAGAAGCAGCTTGCCGCCTGCTGTGGGCAGGGGACTGCTTCAGCCAAGCAGGAGGCCCACCAGGGACAGGACCTGCTCTCATCCAGAGCAGGCTCTAGTCCATGGGAAACTCAGGCAACCTCTAGGCAGTGGCTGCACCAGCACCCAGAGCAGCCTCTGTCCACAGGGAGCCCTGTCCACCATGGACAGAGGCCGCTCCTGTGAGGGTTGTGAGTTGTTGGCAGCCCCAATCCCCACACAGGGGCTGAGAGCTGGCAAGCAGCCCCAGCACAGGGCTGGGAGCAGGAGACCTGTAGGCTGGAGTGGTCTCCCGCTTGGATCCCCCACTTAGTCGGCTAACCAGTTAAACGCTAAGTTAACCTTATGTTTAACAGTTAACTGACTAACTGAGATTTTACATCACTAATTCAAATGAAAGCACTTTGGATAGTTGATTGAAAACATCCCCAAAATTGTATAGTATGAATTTAACACATACCACTACAAACACAGGAAAAGAAGATTGTTTTTAAATTGCTAGGTTTATAGAGTTCTACATAATTGTACTTGTTTTGAGAATGAATCAGACTATGAATCAGTCTGTTTCTTTGGCACTATGCAAAGAAACAGACAATGCCACAACGGGCCGGTATACTAAATCAAACAAAGACAACACAGTTGAGACACAATAAAACAAGTTCAGTATTTAAGCCTGGTGTATACATCATTTTTTATCATAAATATGCCACTTAGGGGTTTGATTTTTTTTATAAAATCAATATGGTTTTCCAATTATAATCCTCAGTCTTCTTCCTGTGTGACAGTAACTATAAACATGTCTGTATACTGGTAAATTTACCAGTATAATAATAATGTGTTAATTATATCAAGATCATTAAAGTAGTACACATTTTGTGTAAACAATCTCTTAGGAAGTAAAGTATGCTGAGCTTAAAAGAATCGTACTGTTATCAATAGTCAATATAAATTGTTTTGTGCATATACATTTTAAGGCAAAAGGTCCAGAAATCTAGGAGTGTTATGTAAAATTATGCAATATCCTAATTTGGTCCTGGTGCCTATGGGGTTTTTTTCAGTAAAAAAAAAAACCCTTTTTACTTCTATGCTTACCCTAACTCCTATATGATAGGCAAACCATAAAAATGAATAAAATAATGTATTAGAACATTTGAGTCCCTTTAAATCGTAGTAAGAGTAGATCTTAAATACAAAATGAAGATAAAGGTTTGGGTTTAGGATTGCCAACAATATACTTTTACAAATGTGTATTTGGTATGAAAGACCCCCAAACTCAAGCAACTACTAAAGGCAAATGAACCCAGGTACCAAACTAAGGGAGGGAAGTGCTCTGTCCCACCCAAATCAAGAAAAATGTTACACAGTCCACAGAACCCCCAGGCAACAGAAGCCCTGGGGCTTCCAATTCCTTCCAGAGAAGACATTCACACTCATGATCTGTCTTCCCAGGTCTGTAAGAGCTGGAGATCTAAGTCCACCCCCCAAGCAGTGCTCTGCCATTGCTGCCAGCTGTGCCCTGTTTCTCCTCTCCCACTGACCTGCACTAAGGAAGCCCTGTGTCCGCACACCAGGCATGAGAAGCACTTCAGACCTAACCTCCACTATCTCTACATTCATTTTTCTAACCAGGAATGGGGCTCAGAGAATCACAGGAGGGGAATGAGGGGATGCAGAGCCAGGTCAGAGCAGTGGGCATGGTGCAGAGCCTGATCCAAAGAGGGGCTCAGGTGCGGTGAAGGCAGGGCAGAGGCGGTGGGACCTGGACAGGGCTGTCCAGCAGGGGGAGGATGGGCGTACAGGGCTGGCAGTAGCAGTGGGCGGCAGGGGGAGCGGAGCCTGGCCAGGGGACGGGATGGGGGGGTTCATGCAGAGCTCGGGGAGAAGCAATAGGGCAGGCACTGCGCTGAGGGCAGGACACAGCAATGGGGCGGGGGTAGGAGGGGGAAG